AAGAAGATTTTAGAGTATTAGTTTGCTACATTGCCAAATCCTGGAGACCTATTTGCAAAAATATATAATAGAGTGACAAAATCATAAATGAGTAGATTTTGATTTGTTGTGTGTCATCAAGTAAAATAGTATGTCGTCGGATAAAATAAAAGATTATTAGTTTAAAACACACCAGCGAATAAATCAACACCCACTTATTTAAAATTTAATCATCGCATTACTTTTGCAAATAAGTTTTATAGAATTTAGCTACCTAGTGCATTTATATATATATGTACTCGATATTATATAAATCGAGTCTCACCGGTTATGCAGAGGAAAGCACCTCCAAGTGAAATCCAGCCCTTTTTACCAGTTCTTCTCATATAGTAAATGATATAGAGTGGATTAAGTGCCTTTAAGACAGTGATGTCATATTTGATCAGATTAAATAGGCCAATTCCGACCAGAAATAAGAACCATGTGAGGATGATCGGAGCGAATGAGAATCCGACTTTATCGGTCCCAAAACGCTGAAATGCGAATAGAAGAATCAAGATTGCGACCGAAACACCCACCACCGTGTCTGCATATTTATATAAGGGATCATTAGATCACATTTAAGTACGTTAGATTAATGTTGCAAATATCGATTAATAAAAAGAGAAGATGAATGTGATGAGTTTACTTTGTCCGAGTGATTTGATTCCACCTACTGCTGAAAGTACTGGATCAAATTAATAAAACAAAACATGAAATTTGTTAGTTCAAATTAATATTTTCATCTAAAACATATATATGATTTATTTGATGGGCTTGGACCTCACGTCGGTCCATAGTTACCTGAGATGGAAGGAGTAAGGATACCATCACCAATTACCATGGCAGTACCCATGATAGTGACGAGAAAGAGTATGATCTTTGCGAATTTAAAATTCTCAAGCTTCTCTTTGATCCAGTGGGCTCTTCTGTGCTGTGTATTTGGAAGTTCAAGTTTATAGTTTGAGAGCTCTCTATCTTCTGGTTCTTGGTTTGGAATTAGTCCCGTTTTCGCATACCGGCATATTAATGAGTACAATGCAAATGTTCCTCCTGCGTTTCAAATATTCACATAAACCAAAACGTTAATTAAGTTCGTATGGTTTATATTTAGACTAAAGAATGAATACCGAATTCAGAGCCGCCTTTTGAGATGTAGAGGGCTTAAACTCATTTATATCTTTATTCACCATTGAATTTATCATTTTACAATAATAATATAATTCGGCATGTATAACTTTGTGATCTTGACAATAATCTTCAACTTGAATCTCTAGTTCATAACATAGACACGGAAAGAAAAAATAAAATATATAGAATTATGAACATTTGACATTATTTATATATTGGTTATAAATTATTGTTTTTAGTATTAGCATTATTGCTTGAAGTATAATAACGTCATACTCGTACGAACTCTTAGACTTTTGAGGACAAGCATTTATTGGATCACGTCACTGGATATATTATAATAAAAGGTCAACATGCGACATCTTACTAAGATTGTTGCAATGGAGGACGTGCGTCACATAATAAAAGTCAACAGTAATAAATACGCTTAATATCTAGCGTAATATATAAATAAAAAAAACTACTCTCTCCGTATTATAATAGATGATGTTTTAAAAAAAAAATTTTGTTTTATAATAAATGATATTTTCAATTTTCTATGTAAAATTAATTGTGTTTTTGTTGTTTTAACTGTTTAAATTCTACAGATTATTTTTTAATTGGTTAAATTATTTTGAAGTTAATGACAAAACATGTTTTATTTTTAAAAAAAATACTAATAATAATTTATTAATTTATGTCCAACAACCTTAAAAATCAAGTAAAGTTTTGATTCTTATTATTAACTCATTATAGATCTACTGAATCCTGATGTTGATCCGATAAAAGCGTGTGTGTATATCTTATTGCAGC